TTCTTTTTAATACTCTTTTCTAATTATTTAGTATCCAATTCTCTCAAGTACACACAGTTACTATTATTATTCTTATACAATTCTTAATTAATTACTATAATTAGTTAATACCTTGCCTATTAATATAAGAATAATAATAATATAATAAAATGTAGATTTTTTCTTTATATAAAAATTTTTGATTTTATTAATAAAAATTTTTATTTTTATATTAAATGAAGATAATATTATATATTTTAACATATATTTTTTTCAGATTTAATCTGATAAAGTTATTCTAATTGCATATAAAGTTAATTATTTTTTTATAATTAAAACATATATAGTCAAATTTTTCTATAGTTATCCTGTTTTGCTTTTTTATTTACATATAAATATAGTAAAAAAATTACTCTATAGTCATATTCACTCTATAATTATCAAATTTTACTTTTCTGAAGATAATAATTATAGAAGAATTTGATTATAAAAAAATAATATACAATTAGAACAACTTTATCAGATTAAATCTAAAAAATCTGAAAAAAATATATATTAAAATATGTGATATTATCTTTATTTTAATATTAAAATAAAAAATATTTATTAATAAAATTAAAAACTTTTATATAAAGAAAAAAATTTGTATTTTACTATATTTAATTAATAAATTTTAATATTGTTGTATTATTTTTAATTATCGCTATAAATTAGTTAAAATTTGTAATAATTTTAAAATTAATATTATTATTTTTTATTAAATTTATTTAAATTTGATAATAAATAATATATAAGCAAATAGTTTAATAGTTAATTTACAAAAAATTTCTCAAAAAATATATTAATTTTAATAATTATAATATATAATTTTGCTTTAATAATTTAAAAATAATTTAAATATATTAAAAATATTAATTATAAATTTAATTTATCAAATTCTATTATAAATTAAAAGTTAATATAATTATTTGAATATTTTATATTTTTAAAATTCTTAGTATACAAGATCTTTTTTGATTTTATAATCAAAAAATTTCTGAAATTAATTATTTTGTTTTTATATATTTAATAAAATATTGAATAAAATCAAAATTTATTATTATATTATAATTCTTATATTTAATTTCTTATTTAAAATTTTAATTTCATTATTTTGTTAAATTCTTTGAAATTTTTTATTATAAATAAAGAAATATTTATTTAATTATTACAATTAGTAATTTTATTATTTTAACAAGGTAATTTATTTTTTTTCAAGATTATCAATAATAATTATATTATTAATTGAATAAATTATATAATAAATTATAAATTTATAATTAATATATTAAAACAAAATTACTATTTTATATATAACTAATTTACAAATTTTTAATTAAATTACAATTACTTATAAAGATTTTTAACTATTAAAAATAAATTTATCAATATATTTATTATTAAAAATATATAAAATATTATAAATTAAATTGTATATAATTTAATTTTAAATTTTTTATAATAATCTTTATAATATTAATATATTAATATTAATACAAGTATTAAGTTTACAAATATTTGTTAATATTATTATAAGTTTGTTTTTTAATAAATAAATTAATTTATAAACTTGAACAAGAATTAAAAAAAATTAAATAAATAAATAAAATAAAAAAGAAAAAATTTTATATTAATTATTACTAAAATTATAATAGTTTGAAAAAAAGATAAAAATTATAAAAAATTTCAAAAAAGTAAATATTAAAAAGAAAGTATTATAAAATAAAAAAAATATATAATAAAAAAATTTTGAAATACTAATTCTCTATATTAATATAAAATATTCTAAAGCTAAAATAATTTAATTGATAATAACAAAATATTCAAGTAATTAAAGTCGCTTATATTTATAATAGTTAAATTTTTAAATATAATTAAAGTTTTTTTCTATTTTCAAGTAATTGAATTATAAACTTATAAACTATTAAATAATTAGTTAAAAATAAAATACTTAGTTTTAAATTATTAATTAAAAATTTAATAATAATATTTTCAATAATATTATTTTAATAAATTTATTAAATAATATTTATTTCTCGTACTTTAATTATATATTTTAAAAAATTTTTGTTTTTATTGTTAAGATAAAAAATTTAATATTATTAAAATATAATAATAATTTATTATATTAAAAATTTTTTTAAAAACAAAATAATTTAAAACTCGATACAAAAAAATAAAAATTATTTGTATACAAGCTTTGAAATATATAATTAAATATTCTAAATATTTTTATTTTTATTTTTCTTTGTTATAAATATTAAATTAAAATTCAGAAAGTATTTCTATTTTATAAAAAATTATAAATAAAGTTATAAATAATATTATATAAAAAGTTAAAAAAAAGTTATAAGTTATAAGTTATAAAAATTATAAATAAAATTGTAAAGTTATAAATAATATGAAATATTATTCATTTGAATTTTAATAAATAAAAAATACTTTATTTAAATATAATATAATCTTATTTTTAATAAATACTAATTATAATATTAATATTATATATAATAAATTAATTATTAAATATTGTTATATATATCAAGATTTAAAAAATACTAAAAAATAATTTTTACAAGATTCTTCAAATATTAATAAAATTATTTGATTAATATTTATACTAATATTGTTTAAAGTATTTATTTTAAAATTAAAAAATTAAAAAATCAACATATTACATGAATTTTTAATTAATTATACTTAATATTAATAAAAATAAAGAAACTAATATTCAATTAGTATTATATAATAATAATAATAATAATGATGATTTTTTAAATAATGATTAATTAAAATAAATAATTAAATTTATAAATTTTAAGAATCAAACTAATCAAAAAAATAGAATATATAGTAAATTGAAAATAATTTCTTATATTAACTATTAATAATAATAAATATATAAATTAGAAATTCAGCTATTTATTCAAAGTAATTGTTTTAATAAAATTTAATAATATTATAATTAATTCATTTTATTACTCACAATTACAAAAATATTTTTATCAAACTTGATAATAAATAATTATATTTTGAAATAATTTAGTATTTAAATTTATAGAAGGAGTATATTATATTACAGCTACTATAGAAGTACAAAAAATATTATTAAAACTTTTGATATTTATAAAAGAAAATTATTAATTAATAATTATATATGAAGCAAGAATATTAAATATGGCTTAATATTTAAAATTATATTAGTAAAAAATAATTATATATCAAGAGATAAATTTTGTTAAAAGCTATTTTATTTTAAATATTAAAAATATAGCTAATTTATATTTACTATTATAGTAAATCTCAAAAATTATTTCAAATCCAGATCAAATTGACACATGGAATATAACAAAAAGCAATTTAACTTCATTGAAAAAAGAGCTTGCATTTGCTTTTAATGAAATTTTTGATGTTATAGGATTATTTCAGAGTGTTATTGCAAGAAAATTAATGAATTAACTTTTGATAAGACAAAGTTAAGCAACTTATAATTTCTAATATATTATATTATATTAGTATTTCACAAAATGAAGAAACAAAATCAGTTATTCAAGAATGTATACAAAAAATATGAGAGAAATTACAAACAGAAGATATAAAAACAGATTTAATTAAAAATTGTAATCAAGATTTCAAAGCAATGAAAAATCATGAAATCTTTACAAACATATTCAAAACTCAAAAATGCAAATTAATTTATTTTATTTCAATTTGAAAGTTCAGATTAAATAATACAAGTTCTTATATATCAATTTTCATTTAGTTAATTTCATAAATGAGTTAAATAGTTTCATTGTCTTTATACTTTTTAAAGATCATTTATGTTATTTGAATATCAATACGTAATGTGAGTATAGCCAGTATCTTTTAACTGACTATGATCGCTAAAATATTACATTTTGGTAAATTATGTTTTTTATTTCTAAAAGTAGTAATTAAATGAAGTTTAAGGAACTTCTAGTTTCCCTTTTTGTATATTTATTTGCACATGTTAATACATGTAACGCGTAAAATAATTTTATAATTAGCAAAAATATATATAATAATTTTAATCATAAATCTAATTTTAACCAAAATTTTAATATTATATATTACCGTATTTAGAAATGAATTATGTGAATTAAATGAAAATTTTTATTACACGCATGTATATCGATATCAACAACTTAAATTAGCATATACAGTACTCGCGCTAAATAAATTTCGTTTTTATGTTTTATTAACAAAATATACAAAATATACAGTAAGTATTCTTTATTCTCTAAACTTATAAATTTAAATGATCACACGTAATATAAAAATATTATTATGTATGTTGTACTGAAAAATTTTGACCTTAAATGAAATGATAAATTTATATAGATAGATAAATGGATGGATGGATGGATGGATGGATGGATGGATAGATAGATAGATAGATAGATATGGATGGATGGATGGATATATGCTTTATGTTCCTCCCGTATTAAACTCGTTTCCATCAGAAACCCCCAAAAAGACGCTCTCAATATCGGGATAGTTAAATTGGCTAACAGAAAGTTCGTTGTGAAAATCAATATCATTGGACGTTGAATTTAGACAATTAAAAATATTGAGAACAGGAGGAAGTTCTGTTAGGAACACGTTATGTAATTTGTCGATATTTTTTTCACCAAGTAAGCTCCCTTGCGAATCTAATCGCATTTTTCTAAACTTAAAGTCTAAAAGATCGACTGGGTCAGTTGGGAAGGTGGGAGGATAAGCGAACGATTCTTTTGTGGCTACCGCTACGGTTGAAACAGATTCGAAAGTTTCATATGGCTCGAAAATTTTAGAAAATTCGTCTTCTGTGGTTTCTGTTTCAGAAATAAATGTCGGTGTACTTAGAGGTCGAGGCTCGAGAGCGAAAGTTGTAAGCATTCCTGAACTATTACCTTCAGGAAAAGGTTTATTTTTGCATTGTGCTTTCTTTTTTGGCTTAAAAACATAATTTGGATATGTTTTTTGGTGCCACGCTTGAGCTTGATTCGCAAGTTCCTCGTAAATTTTTTTAGCCTCTGAAGGCGCATTTGCCCATAGTTCTCTAGCTAGTATACAAGTAGCAGGCATCGTTGGCTTTAACTCGCGTTCCCACAATTCCAAAAGTAGGCACTTTTTTAAGAGAAAATAGCTATTCAATGGCCTAGGAGGTTTTGATGAAATTCGTGCTTTATTTGTAGTATATATCAATTGCGCTAGGCCAAAGCGTGGGGTATAAACGATTTCTGGATCGAAATCAGTTGGAAGTGTTATGATGTTCTGTTTATTTTCTGTTTTCGCTGCAACTTTTTCTATGCTTCTTGTTTTGATTTTAGGGAGCGATTGTTTTATCTCTCTAGAAGCATTTTTGACTGAAAGCGAGTTTTTGTTACTTTTGCCCATTGTGATGTCGTTAATGTATTTTTTGTGAGATAAAAAATTATGCTTTTGTTTTCGGTAGATTTGTGTTTGTTTAAGGAGTGAAGAATATAAATCTAGGGAAAATAATGAAGATTAATTGTTGGTAGCTGTTTTTATAGATAAGTACCTCATGGAATTCAAATTAATTAGGTAATATAGAAGTTTCTCTCAAATAATACATGTACTAGTTATTGTCTGTGGTCCGGACCGGTTTTTAGAGCACTGGGTTATGGTTCGATCTTGTAGACCAGTCCAGACTCTAGGTGATCAATTTTATTATAAGAAAATCGGTCCCTATCAACGCCAACATTGAGAACAAAGTCTTGCTTGTTAGCTCGAGATCAATTTTTTACACGTTCGATTACATATACATGTGCTAATTTTAAATTTTTAAGGGGGCATGTACAGTGTTGTCGCTTGGACGTAAATCCAGCAATTTGATTGGTTGGGACACTTGTCCCAACCAATCAAATTACGTCCAAGCGATAACACTGAGCATGTGCATGTCAATTACAATTCGAAAAAGGAAAAAACCTGCTTTGAAATTTTGGTAGGACACGGAATTTTTTATTATTATCGTTATCATTGTTACCTAACAACTACATGTATATCGATATCATTTCGTGTTCCAAGTAAAAACGAATCGAAATCAAAATAGAATGTTTATTTTTAATTTTTCAACACCGATACTGTAAATAAATAAATTAAAGTTATTTTCTGAACCGGTTTGATTTTAAAAAATAGGTGACTGTACTGCTGACTAAACAATAAAGATGGCTAGCTAAGCTGATTAAAGCAAAGTGAGCGGCTTCGATTATTATACGTCGTTTCGGAATTCACACCAATTCCGATTGACATACGTCGCTTCAGAATTCCAAATGACGTGCGTCGTTTCGAATTCAAATCGACGTGCGTCGTTTTGGAATAAACGACATACATGTAACCCGCTATATATAACACGTACAGTCGAAGTCACTAAAATCCATCCAATACTGCCATGGCACCAATTAACTGTAGATCTTCTACATAATAATCAATATGACCAATCAGAACTCTTTATTTTTAATAATATGTATAATAACACTCTTAAGATAACATCTCGTTATACTAGCACAAAATCTCTTACCCGATCTCATTACTGCAATAAGCTTTGATAATATTTGGTGTGGAATGGTTGGTTTATTTGCTTTACTTTAATCTTAGTTTTGGCGAGGAATCGTCATTGTGCCAGTAAAACAAGCGTGAAATGGATATGCCGGGTAGCACAATCTTTGGCATTTAAATAGAACAGAAAAACAGGTGTCTAAATTTAGTTTGGGACACAATCTTAGCCCTGATTCTAGCCCTTACTCTGACCCTCTAGCCCTTAACACATATTTGTCACGCACTTTGCATTACTGGCACAAATAAGTAATCTCTTCCAGCCCACATTCCAATCCAGCTACAAATAATTCTTTTGTTAGAACGTTCTGAAGTCCATGTCGATTCGAGATTAACGTGCGTCGTTTTGACTGACCACATCATTTTGGAATTCTGAAACGAAGCACGTCAATTCGGATCCCGAAAGTAATGGCGGAAAGAAAGTTTTTAAAGAACAACTACACAAAAAAATCTATTTCTTGAATGCCTCTGAGTAGGGCATCATGCCATTTGACATGTTAAAAATTATGTTTCAATTTGCTCTCATAATTAATATATATATGTTAATACAATTCTTTAAGCTCGGTAAAATTTCGCGTAATCGTGAGTCAATTGATACCTTTCATGATCGACTCAGTCAGCGGAATAAAACCTTTTTTTAGAAGGTCAATTACATGTACGTATATACATGTATTTTCCCGCCATTACTTAGCCAAACTAACGCTAACCCTAAAATCTGCCAATTAAAATGGGGTGCTACATGTAACGGGCGCAACATTTAACGTTACGTAATGTATACAAACAGACTTACATAACGATAAACTGGTAATACATTTTACAGATCTGACTTTTTCGCAGACATGTGTAAATTTTTGGTATTTAATTGGATGCTTTGTTCAAAAATATTTTACGCACGTACGTAATTAGAAATTGTTAAATCACAGAATCAAATTTGTAGATTTTATAAAGCATATGCTACAATTATAAATAATATAAATTCAATGTAGCTTACTAAGTTAATTCTTTCACAAATGCAAGGTTTATCCAAAATTTGTTGTTGCATTACTATTTACAAAACAAAATAAAAATCAAGACATTTTTCGTTGTTTTTAAATTTTCTACCACTTCGTATACCCGCCCTGAGTTATCACATCACAAATTCGTTCTTGCATAGAACGAATCAAATTTGTTGTATTTTTTCCCAGAGGTCACCCTTACCCGAAATTGGTACAGGAAGACTCCGAAGGCGAAGACGATTGATCGACGAACCACTTTTCGTATCATTGGTCGTATGAAAAACCATAGTATTCATAAGGTCTTCTGTAAGAATTAATCAGTGTTTGCCTCTTTTGTGCCTGATGATTGAGTAACCGGTATCCTTCGTACGAGAATTGAAACCACGGTCCGTTTTTTTCTTTTTCCATATGTAATGGGTGTTGTACAGAAGACGTTGCATTTAAATCTTCATCTCGGAATAAAAACGTCGGTTTCAGTTGAAGACCTGTGTCTTCCGCTTCGCTCTCACATGCTTCCCGAGAGTTTTTATCTGTTACCTCGACATGTCCACAGTATAACTCACCATTCATTGTCCCATCAATTACCAACATCACGAGAAGTAAAGCAACCCCATATCATTTCCCGAAACACATCCTTGAGTTCCCAAACACTATAAGACTTTTTGCCCTTGATTATGACTTTTAACTTAAGTATACAGTTGTTATCATCTAGTTCGGTTTGAGTACTAAGGTGTTAAAGTGGTAGTCGTTCCTACTCCCCACCACCGAATTTAACCGTAGGCTTAATATGTGAACTTTTCAATGGTTCATCCGGTCTTTTCCAATAATACTCGCGCCTATCTGACACAAAACCTTGAACTATGATTTATCAGACCATATTACCTTTGACCAATCTTCAAAAGTCCAATTTTCGTATTTTTAGCGAATTCAAGTCGACATTTCATGTGTTCTGGCGTTAGGTATGGCTTTTTTCTTTTAATTCTTGCTACAAACCATTAGTATACTCTGAGATTTCAAGATTTTCCGTTCCGAGTAAACGTTTTTGAGCTTGAACAGCGATGGAACAATCACGAGAAGTAATAAGCTGAACAACTTGTCTTTCTCGTCGCTCATTTAATATACGTGGACGACCGGATTTGCTTGCATCCTGGAGAGAATTTTTTCATGCCATCTTTTGTGTATACGAGAAACTGTTGAAGGACTAAAACGAAATAAGAAATTTAATATGAAAATTTGCTGAAAAATAGGAAGCTACCAAAATCAGACGCATAATGCAACTGTTCAGTGTTATTTAACTCATCGTTCAACATTTCCAGAGAAATGTCGTCCACATAATATTTCGCGCCCTAGCTAGTCTATCCATTATAATAATTTCGGCTCGTTTCAATAATTACGTAATAATAATAACGCTTACATTAAAAAGGGCAGGTCATGTGATTCCGAGCTCGATGCCGACCATCCGATATTCCTCTTAAAATTATGCACCAATCCAATCGCAAGATCAATGTGCAACGCAAAAATTCACCTAACACGCTTATTTTTGTAGTTTGTAACTTAAAATTTTGTCTATGAAATTATACAATTATTTTAATTCTAAACCTAAATCTAAATCTAATCTTAATCCTAATCCTAGTTGAAATTCTATTTGATATTATGCATTATAATTTAAGAGGAATATTGAATGGTTGGTATCGGGATCAGAATTACATGATCTGCTCTTTTTTTAGTCATACGTTAATAAGTATTGTATGATTGAGCAAAAAAATATGATATAATTGGAAAATTATATGTATAGTACGTACAGATTTTACAGTGCTTTTAAAAATAACTTATTTTTTCTATAACTTTCTGTAAATTTATCAAAATTTTCCAAGTAAATACTTACCCAACTAGTGGAAGTATTAGAATCTATTTCTTTTTAATACTCTCTCCCAACCATCTAGTATCCAACTCTCTCAAGTACACACAGTCACTATTATCACTCTTATATAATTTTTAATTAATTATTATAATTAGTTAATACTTTACCTATCAATATAAGAATGATAACAATATAATAAATCTAATATCTGAATTTATTTTGTTAAAATTTAATATAAAATATACAAAAAATTATATTTTTATATTCATTTTTATTTGTATTTTAAATTATAAATAAAATTTATTCTATTTTAGATTATTTTCAAGCAAAATTTTTTTGATCTAATAATATTATATATTCTATTTTTAATAAATTCTTTTTGATAAAGTATTAGATTTATAATTAATTATTTTAGAAATAATAACAAATAATATATATATATAATAGCAATAAAACAAATTTATTAATAAAATATAATAAAAATATGAAAAATATAAGTTTTTTATATTTTTACTATATTTATTAATAAATTATTATAGTAGTAATATAAAAATCATAAATTTTAAAAATACTTAAAAATTATGAAAATTCTAAAAATATTTATATAATAATAAATCTTCTAATATTATTTCATATTTTTAACTTTTTACTTTTATATATATCATTTTACTTTTTCATTATTTTACTTTTTTAATTTTTATTTTTATATATATTATTTTACTTTTTTATTATTTTATTTTTATTTTTTCAATTTTATATATATTATTTTACTTTTTTATTATTTTAATTTTTTACTTTTATATATATATTATTTTACTTTTTATTATTTTACTTTTTTAATTTTTCACTTTTATATATATTATTTCACTTTTTCATTAGTTTACTTATTTAATTTTTTACTTCTATATATATTAGTTTACTTTTATATAATTAATTATTTTATTTTTATCTAAATTTTTATATTTATATAATTATTTAGTTTACTTTTTATATTTTCAAAAAATATATAAATAGAAATATCATCTAAATCTTAAATTGATATATTATAACTAAAAATAAAAATCTTAACAAAAATTTTCTTTTAAATATCTTTTGTTTTTTATATACTTCAAATCTTGTATATAAATAATCTTATATTATATTGTACTAAGCAAATTACTATTATTAACTTTGAATTTTAGATCATATTATACTAAACAAATTATTATTATTAAATTATTAAATTTTATATCATATTGTACTAAATAAATTACTATATTAGAATTATTAATATTAAATTTTAAGTATTTTAGTTTTTCTTATTTAAATTTTTGATTATTAATAAATATTTCTTACTTATAAGAAGAATAAAATAAAAGAATTTTTGTTATTATTGTTACAAGTTTGTTCACTAATCATTAAATTAGCTTACAAACAAGAATCTAGATTGGAAGAGAATATAAACTGATAAAGAAAATATTAAGATAAAAGAAAAGTATCTAAGACCTATATTAATTTCTATAAAAATTGTATTTACTTGAAAAGAAATAATAATATAAAAGAGTTTGTGGGAGAGTAAAGATCAAAGAGAAGAGAAGAATAAAAAATAATAAGATAATTCAAAAGGATGATTCTGTACTTGTATAAAGCTTTCTAGAATTAATTAGTAATAACAATAACAAAGACTCTTTCACTTTGTTCTTCTCATGAATAAGAAATATTCATTAATAATTAAAAATTTAAATAACAAAAAGTAAAATACTTATAATCCAATTTCAATACAGTGATTTGTTCAGTACAATATGATATAAAGCTCAATAATTCTATAATAATAATTTGTTTAATACAATATGATTTAAAGTTCAAAGTTAATAATAGTGATTTGCTTGATGCAATATAATATAAAGCTATTAGCAATTTGATAGATTCAATATAATATAAAATTACTTATATACAAATTTGAAGTATATAAAGAAAATATGAGAGACAGTAAGTATTTGGAAGAAGATTTTGTTAAGAGAAATTTTTATTTTCAGTTATCATATGTCAAGTTAAAACTCAAATAGCATCTCTATTTATACATTTTTCAAAATTATAAAAAGTGAAATAAGTAATTATAAAAATATAAAAGTAAAATAATTAATTATAAAAGTAAAATAACTTATATAAAAGTAAAAAGTAAAAAGTAAAATATTGAAAAAGTGAAATAATAAAAGTAAAAAATAAAGTGAAATAATAAAAAGTGAAATAATATATATAAAAATGAAAAATAAAGTGAAAAATAAAAAGTAAAAAATAATACTAGAGAATTTTACTATTATATGAATATTTTTAGAATTTTTATATTTTTCAATTATTTATAAATTTGTAATTTTATATTACTACTGTAATATTATTATTATTATTAATTATATTATTTTAGCTTTGAAAAGCTTTATACAAGTACAGAGAATTAATTTTTCAAATTCTTTTTATTAATTATTTTTTTATTTTTTTATACTCTTACTCTTCTTTTTTATTTTTACTCTTTTATAACTCTTTTATATTATTATCACTTTTTAAGTATTGTTGTATAATGATCTTTCGTCATAATATTTTATTGGATTATAAATATCTCATATATTATTGGATAAAGATTAT